TAGAGTCAGTAAATGCAAACACATGCAACTCATGATTTTGGACCTATGGTTAAAACCATCATAGTGGTAGCCTCCATTTCTGACAAAATTGGATGTGTCGTACTTTCCTACACACGACCCACACAAATGAATGTGGATCCCCTAGTGGTTTGCACCCCTCTAGACCCACCATAGTCAAGTTAGCTGTCCGTAGTGACGTCCAAAGGTCAGCAGACACCCGATTATCATGTGAGGCATGATCATCACCATCATCATCATTGTGTACGCATCTGTACTCATCATCATAAATGGAGAAGTAACCCGATGTATATGTACACAATAAATGCATGACGTCCCTATAGTTTTCATTTTTAACTCATCTTTGAGACACAACCCTTTACACCGTTCACATATTACTCTAAGTAATATGTATGCATTATCTTAACATGGAATAATGTCATATTAAGTCATCTCATCATCATACATCTTAAATCGTAATGTTATCATACATCATAATCATCATCATGTCATCATCATCATATCATCACCATAACATCATCATATTACATCGTCGTATAACATCATATAACATCATATAACATCATATAGTATCATCATATAACATAGTCACATCATATTTTATTATAGTCTCACCATCATATAATATAGTCACATCATCATATAATACAAAGCATAAATGACACGTGGAAGGGCCACTGGGCACGTGTCGTCATATGTAACAACCCTAAATTTTCACATACTTAGAGTCTCTACTAACGTCTCATGCTCATCTCTAATGCGGAAATATAACTCTTACATGAACATCATTTATAACTTAAACTTCGAAAAACGCTTAAAACAACTTCTCTAGAAAACACAGTCATTGTCCTACGTGTTTAAATACGAAATACTGAAATTTAGAGAAAATAAAAACAAATACAAAATAATTTAAAACAATGAAATGCAAAACAACCTATTCTAACTCAAGACTAGAAATTTAAATATGAGTCTACCTCACGTGCCACAGTCTCTACTCACGATGCCGCCACCCTCCGTATAAGTGTGCCTTGTCTTTACCTGAAAAATGATATGGCACACGGCCTGAGTATTTTGAAGAATACTCAGTAAGTGGCCCCGCTATAGGGGGCCATGCAAATACAAACACATGCAATCATGATTTAGGGACCTATCTCTAATCATCATAAGGGTGGCCTCCAGTTTTGGACAAATTGTATGTATAATACTTCCCTACACACGATTCACACGTGCGAGTGTGAATCCTAGGACACTCGCACACCCCCTAGACCTTCTGGTCAAGTTAATCTGTAGCGACGTTCGGAGGTAAGCGGAATCCCATAGTGTCATGCGCCTCATGAACACCCTCATCTGTGCGCATTCGCACTCATCATCATACTGTGCGCGTCCGCACTCATCATCTCAATGGGAAGTAGCCCTATACTTATGAACATACCATATGCATGAGGTCCCTCTAAATCTATCATACTGTCTCTTCTGACACAACCCTCTAGTCTCATCTCTTTGTTACTCTATTTAACATATACTCGTGGATATTTATATTAATATCATTTTTATGCTCTTAGGGTTGTGTCCTATGTCGATCTAACGACATGATGCAATATGACACTCATCATCACATCGCATGCTCAATATGGAAAACATCATCATATTAAGGTAAACGTCACGTAATCATCATACTCATCATATTGCCATAAAGTGCATCAAGCATATCAAGTACGTCATTCATCAATATATATATGAACTTATTGACTTGGATTCAAATAAATGAAAATTTTTATAGATTTAATTGGTTCATGAATCTCCCTAAAACTAGATTGGATTGAATAGAACCGATTCTAATTTGCTTTTAATTTTAAAATATATTTATTTCATTCTTATTTAATTATATAATTACTTTTTTATTAATTATTCTCAACTACCCATCAACATAATTTTTTTTGTCTAAAGTATTTAAAATCTATTTTAAAAATATATATTGAGATCGAAGATAAATAAATATTTTATAAATTAATATTTTAGTTATGGTTTTTAACGGGAACAATTGAGTTCAATCTAAAAAAATCTCTTAACTCAACTCAATCTAATCTACCGATACTCTTAATTTGAAAAGGAATATATTTGTCTTTTTATGAGATATGATTTCAATTTTGGTAATTTGGTAACTTATCTTTTATGGATTTAGATTTCATCACTACATATAAACATAGAAATACCAAATTTATATAAACTTTTCTTTTAAACTACTAAACCATACTTTAATAGTAAAAAATAATAATAAATAAATAAATAAATAATAAAATGAATTGTTAAAACAAAATAAGTTAATAAAATAAAATAATTAAATAAAACAGTTAATTCAATGTCTCACGAGAATTACAAGAAAATTTTATATTTAGTGTGTATATATTTCTCTTTGTTATTGGTATGTTATATCACGATTTCCTTTTCTTTTATCCTAATTTCATTTTTAGGAAATCACTCTCATTTATTAAGTAATTATCAAATATATTATGAAGTTATAGTATCTAGGGTGAACATCTTTAATAAGATGAATATTTACCGAAGGAATTTGGTGAACATCTTTAATAGGGTGAATTTGAGGGACGAAAGCAAGCTGATCAAAGCAAGCTAACTTGGAGTTCGATAGAACTTCAGCTAAGGCTATCCCAGTGAGTGACCTTACTATTGATATTGTTATATTTGATGTTAACATGTTCCCCGTAGTTCTGCACGTGTCATATATATTGATATGTGTGAATTGTTTATGGATACTGTGATATGATATGTATATGTTATAATATGGGAATTGTATGATAACATTTGCGGTACGATGTGTTCAATGATATGTTTGAGATAGGATATGATAACATTTCCCAGTACTCTTAGTACACAGTTCGAGGTCAAAGAACTTAACATTTGAAGCGGTGTTCAGCGTTTGAGGATGAGGTGCTCCATCATAAAAACATGTACCCCTGGTACAATCCAGTTAGAATTAGTCACTCACATGGTCAACGTCCTTCCATAGGACGGACCTGCCATGCAAGCAACCTTGACCCACCCGCGTGATCAACATCCTACCATAAGATGGATCCACCATGCAGAGTAGTCGATCTACCACTGAGTAACACCTCCCTAACTAGCATCTCGTCTAGCTCAGTGGTACCACACCAGAGTAGTCGATCTACCACTGAGTAACACCTCCCTAACTAGCATCTCGCCTAGCTCAGTGGTACCACACCAGAGTAGAAAGGGAAGTGGAGAATACTCGAACGCTATACCATCACAGTGATTGGTTGAAACATTTAATGGAAAATGAAGAACAGTTTGTTGACGATGGAATTCTCTTGCTTAAGCACCTAGCATATCATCACAAGAGCTTGAAGCTTAAACCACTGATGAGGAACAATAGGCTTTACGAGTTAGCTGTCTATCCAGATTCACTCTTTCAAGACTTCCAAGTCTATAACTATCCAGAGTTAAAGGGTCTCTCCCTCTAATCGTCCCTCACGATACTACTGACTGCAACATCAGGAGGATCCCTTATCTAAACTTAACTCATTCCCTAAAAGTATACACCCTAGGCATAACTCAACACTACAGCTTATCAATCATATCATAAGTTCACACAATCATTCAATAAGAGTTTATGTAATATTAACAATGCATGCAGTCACACAAATTCAATAGGGTGATAACATCCATCAGCATCGGGAGCGTAGATACACAAATACCCCCGTCCGTCAACAATAGCATGAAAAAAATATAAGCAGTAGTAGGACAGTCCAGAAAGCATACAAAATTGAGTATGGAACCCCACTCGGGTAGCAAGTCCAACAAATATATAATTAACTTCCTAAGTGTAGAGTAATATCAGATCTAGCCACCTAGAAGTAATTTGCTCTAGCATACATGCAAAACCAAGCGCACCCTACAAGTATTACCTCCTAATTCAGTGTGGTTACTTACAGGTCTGTTGTGTGCCTTCCCGAACTTGGTTTATAAAGGAGTTCGAAAATTACGAATTCTCTCTACAGGAACCTAGTTTACAGTAAAATAGGATTAACACTGGAATCGAAACAAAAAACTGGCAAATCGAGAGAAAAACAGATGAAAATAGGTGGCCCACGCCCCTCCAAACGTTGGCAGACTCCCCTACACGCCCCCTGTCACAATCGCACATTGATGGCAGCGGACTTGCGATTGTGCGACACTCACTTCTCAGCAACAAGTGAGTTAAGCCTATTCGTTCTTGTTTCGCCTACGGCCAAGCGACGTATGCTCGAGCCTCTAGCCCCGGTTCAAGAAGAAAGTTTTAGAAAGTGGGGGCTGAGAGATTTCGAAAGAGAGTTATGAAAGCAAGATTTGAGAAATTGAAATTGGTGTTATATGGGAATGTAAGCAAAATGCAACAACGGCTTACTGCATATAACTATCGGGTAGGGAGAAGTTGACAACTAATCATATCCCCTATAGTACATTTTGGGACATTTTAGCCCTTGCAGGTGTAGACATGATTTTGGTGAACGGTCATACACCCTCGTACTGACCCAATATGAAATGGTAAAGATCTATCTAGGATGAAAGCATGTAAAAGGGATTTAGAACGGGCATGCAACCATGGACAACACATCCTGGACAAGCAAGACCAGGACATCTGTCATGCGGCCATTGACAACACGCCTTAGACATGCATGATCGTGACACCCCCACGCATGGGCTCCATGCGCAGTGCACAAGTGCGGCAAAGGCACGCTTCGAGCTCTAGTGAATGTAGACTTATCCTTCGAATTTTTAGGACGTGACATGTGGCAAGTAGGGACTGGCGGTAGGACTTGGGTTGGAAAGTAGTTCATCGGGTCGCTTCACAGAGTGTGGGTCGGTTTTCAGTTCGGGTATCTGGGTCAAAAGTTGGATGCGTATCAGTGCACAGCTTCGGACACTTCTCCACAAATTGCTCGATGAATATCCCTCTTTTTTTCCTGACTTGTCACCCTCCTTTTCGGCAGCCACGTGTCCGTTGCCAATTGCCTGAGTTCATCCAATTTCCCGATTTTGGTCAAATTCCATATCAACCTATTTGTTTTGTATTTTTCCATCTTCCAATTTGTAACTTGAATTAACTCGATTCCTTCACAAGAATTCAAGATCTCAAGTTCATCTATCCAGATATATTTTTCTTGCATTTTTTTTATACTCACAAGAGCTTAATAAATGAGATCAAATATCATGAAAAACTAAGTTCCTTACCGAAGTTGGACAATTCTCGATTTCGCTTTCTGACAAATTTTTTTTCCACGATTCCTTCAAAAACATGCAAAAATCCTCACCTAAGGTATTGTAACTTGATTATTAAGACCTAAATCATCTTAAACTTATAGATGTAGGACAAAATCCCGAAATAAAAGAGGTCGTAGACTTACTTCGCTTTCTTGCCTGTTTCTTGCCGGAAACAAATAATCCAAACTCACCGCTCCTCTTGATCCTCTGAGTAGATCTATAGGGAGACATGAGATCAAAAGTGTATCGGCATTCGGGTTTGGGCATTCTTTCCTTCTTATTCTTCTCCTTCATAAAAACCCTAACCACTCCTTTCTCTCTCTCTCTCTTTATTTTTATTTTTATTTTTTTTTCTTTTCTTTTCTTGCAAGTCCTTCTAGACCCCTTAAAGTGGTGTGTGGGGGCAAAATAATCTCTCTTTTTTTTTTTTCCTCAGTTGACTTTGACCCCAATTTTCAATTAAATCATCATTTAAAAAAAAAAAAAAAAATTATAAGCTCCTTGTTGTGTCTCGAGCATTTTTTCCTTGTGCACGGATTTGAAAATTACTTTCTAAGACCTCGAATAAAGTTTAGAAACCCGTAAAAGTAAGGATGATGTTAGTTATAAATAAGTGCAAGTTGTAGGGGGTGTTACATTTGGATCCTTACCTTACATTGTGAGATTCCTCATTATTATTTCTTATTCTTAATACTCATCAGGTAGGAGGATGAAACATTCCGGTATGGAAACCTTTCCCTACTAGATGCGTTTTAAAAACATTGAAGGGAGGGTCGAAAAGGAAAATCTAAAAAAAAAAAATATCTTATTGCAGTGGGCTTCGACCGTTACAGAATCTTGAAACCTTAACTATAGTAATGCTTTTGAAATATCTTGACATGGCTACGAAATCCAAATTACTACAACATTTAGTTCATGTTGCAATATTGAAATATATTCGTGCAGGGGTATTAAAAAGATTACCGTGGAACTTCTAGTTTATTTATAAACAATTTTTTGTTTTTTACATTTTTAATTATCCTAAATCCTCCTTCAAATCAATCTTAAACCATGATTTTCCAAATTTAAAATATCTTGAAAATCTCAAATTGCATTCTATCTACGTAAATATCTATAAAACTTTGACTACGATCATACGCCTCATATAATCTGTGCTCGATAATTTTAAGACTCATCTTTAAACGTATAAGACCATGATATCGTTTTATGAAATGTATTAAATAAATTTTTTGTATAAAAAAATTATATTAAATTCGAATGTGGTCTCGGTTCATTCATGTACCCTTGTTTTACATAAGTGTCACATTAAAAAGATAATTTTAGACAATTGATTCCCTCCAATGACGTATAGTACTACTTTTATATGGTTTAGTATTTTAAAAGGAAAGTTTATATAAATTTGGTATTTCTATGTTCATATATAGTGATAAAATCTAAATTCATAAAAGATATATTACCAAATTTGAAATCATATCTCATAAAAAGACAAATGTATTACTTTCCAAAGAGTATCTCTAGATTAGTTGTAAACCAGAACTAAAATATTAATTGGTAAAATATTTATTTATTTGGGAAGTGTGAGAATAAATAATAAAATAAATAATAATTTTATAATAAAATAAATATATATCTATATAATTATATAGTAAGTAAAAATATAAATTTTAAAATTAATAGTAAATTCCAATCGGTTCTATTCAATTCAATCTAATTTGATGGGATTCATGAACCATTTAAACCTATAAAATTTTTCATTATTCGAATTCAAATCAACCTAAATAAGTTCATAGTCTACCCAAAATTGTACTCGATGAGTTTGGTTGAACGAATTTTACTAATCATTGAGTTTTTTCACCATCCCGATGTTATATGTCATTACCATTGACTTACACTCATGTTGGCATCCCTAAAGAACAAAGTTAGATGAACATAAATTTGGTAGTTTTTTGTGGCATTAAATGACACGAAAACTCCAACTCGGGTTCTTTTCCTATATAAGGACCTCCATAGTTCACAACTTTCTCACACAAACAAGATAATACTTCTCTCATTCTCTTGACCTTTTCACTCGTATTTTTCTACCAACAATGGCAGCAATGTCTTCCACAATGAAGTTAGCAGTTGTATTCCTTGTCTGCTTAGCCATTTTTTCACCATCGACCAAGACCCTCGTGATAGCAAACTTTGATGCTGATTTCAATATCATTGGTTGCATTCCCTTTGTTGCAGAAGGGGCAATGTGTGCGGTAGAAGCTCTCAAGGCTCCAACTAGTGCTATTAAGACTTGCTGTGAAGCCGTTTTGAAGCTTAATGATTGTGACTCTAATATTTTCAAAAGTATTCCCCAATCCGACATGGATATAGTTAAGCAAGTTTGTGATGCGTTATAGGTTTAAGCCTTTTCGAACAAAAGTTCTATGGGTTTATTAAATAAAAATAAATAAGAAAGTTAAATGATAATAATGTGTTTTTTCTCTACGATGTATCATGTTGTTGAAGAGAATTTATGTTTCTTTGTATGAGAATGAATATCTTTTCACCTTTTATAAAATTGTCAGTGAATTCTACCCTTCACCTAAATGAGTTTTTTTTTTTTTTTTTTTTTCCTTTTGTGAATCGGGAGAGTATTATTTTTCTTTAGGCACAAAGATACGAAAATTAGCTTCACATTTAAATTGTATTATAAAGCTTATTTGTAAATTCAAATCAATTAAAATCATGCTTGGAAATGTTCAATTAACAACTTGATAAAGTGCAAATTTGGAAAGGTAGCCAAAAAAAAAAAAAATGGTATTTTTTGGAAAATAACCTTTTAAGGGGTAAATTTGGGAGGCTAACCCACAAGAACTCCAAATTTTTAAAGGCACTTGATCTTATCGCAAGTCTATTACATACCTAAACTCAAGAGCAATATTATAAGTTTGGGACAACTGGATGAGAGTGGAAATAAAATTGTCATAGAGAACAGTGTGATGAAGATATATGACATAGCTAGGAGCCTGATTATTATGGTGACCAGACAATCCAACAGATTGTATGTAGTAAAGCTGAAGCTTGCGGATCAGGTGTGTTTAATGACAAATATCAGTAACAGTGGTTGTCTCTGGCACGCGAGGTATGGACACCTAAATTTTCACTCTTTAAAGCAATTAAATGACAAGAGAATGGTTGAAGGGTTGTCGAGAATCACCCAGGTCAATCAATTATGCGATGGGTGTTTAATTGGAAAGTAGCATAGGACTTCTTTTTCCCGAACAACAATATATCGAGCGAAGGAGTCATTGGATCTTGTCCATGGAGATCTATGTGGACCTATTTCGCCAATGACGTATGGAGGTAACAAATATTTTATGTTACTAGTGGATGATTGTTCATGATTTATGTGGGTGTTTATGTTGAAAAACAAGAATGAAACACTGCTGGTGTTTAAAAAATTCAAGATCAGTGTGGAGGTAGAGAAAGGCAGGAAGATTAAGAGCTTTAGAACGGACCGTGGAGGAGAGTTTGTATCTACTGCTTTTAAAGACTATTGCTAGAATGAAGGCATGAAGAGACTTCTTACTGCACCATTTTCACCACAGCAAAATGGCGTAGTAGAAAGGCGTAATCGAACGGTGGTAGAGATGGCCAGATGTATGTTAAAGAGCAAAGAGATGCCTGCAAAATTTTGGGGAGAGGCTATCAAAATTGCCGTGTATATTCTGAACAGATCGCCAACAAAAGGAATTGCAGATGGTACACCGTATCAAGCTTGGTTTGACAAGATATCAAAGGTTCATCACTTTAAAATCTTTGGGTGTCTTGCTCATGCCAAGAATACATATTCACACCTTCCTAAACTTGTTGATAGGAGTGTGAAGACAATTATGTTAGGATATGAAGATGGAACCAAAGCTTACCGACTATTGGATCCACAAAAGAACAGAATTATGGTGAGCAGGGATGTGGTGTTCGAAGAGGAGAAAAAGTGGTGTTGGGAAGAAATCACAAACGGTGATGATGAACAAAGAGGAACTTTCACCGTTCAAATTTCAGAAAAACAGAGGAGAGGAATATTGAAAATATCGAAGTTGATCCAGACGAAAGACAAAGGGAAAATTCGTCCTCAACTTTATCAACGTCGGACAGTACCTCAAATGCATCATCGTCAAGCTCATCAACGCCGAAAAAATTCAGGTTTCTAGAAGATATTTATAGAGAACTGAACGAAGCAGAGGATGAAGCAATGGACCTTTGTTTTCTTTCTATAGAGGAGCCAATCTCATATGAGGAAGCTGCTAAGAATGAAAACTGGAGGAATGCCATGATGTCTGAAATTCTCTCCATCGAAAAGAACAAAACGTGGGAACTCACAGACTTGCCGAAGAATCATAGAGCAATCGGCATCAAATGGATTTTCAAATTAAAGAAAAATCTAGATGGAGAAATCATGAAACACAAGGCGAGACTCGTGGCAAAGGGATATGCACAGCAGTTCGGTGTAGATTACAGTGAAGTATTCGCACCAGTGGCCAGGTTAGAAACAGTGAGATTAATTCTTGCCTATGCAGCCATTAAGAATTGGGAAGTACATCATATGGATGTAAAGACAGCTTTTCTGAATGGCGAGTTAGAAGAGGAGGTGTATGTTGTTCAACCAGAAGGGTTCGTTGACAAAGAAAATCCAAACATGGTGTTAAAACTACGTAAAGCCTTGTATGGATTAAAACAGGCTCCGAGGGCCTGGAATTTTAAACTTGATCAATGTTTGCAGTCACTTGGTTTTGTTAGATGTCCACAGGAATATGCTATGTACAAGAAAATTAATGGAGTTGAAGCAATGATAAACGGCACATATGTGGATGACTTAATCATAGCCGGCTCAAACAAACAAGTTATAGCTGAGTTCAAGGAAGAGATGCACCAGAAATTTGAGATGAGCGATCTTGGACTTTTGAGCTATTACTTGGGTATTGAGGTACGACAAAGCAGTGAATCAATCACTTTATGTCAGGCCGGATATGCAAGAAAAATCCTAGAGAAGATAGGAATGGGGGAGTGCAATCCTTGTTCGATTCCCATGGAACCAAGAATGAAGATGAACAAACATGGAAATGGAGAACCTGCGGTTGACAAAACACTTTACAGAAGTGTTATTGGAAGCTTACGCTATCTAGTTAATACCCGGCCCAACATAG